AGAGTTGCACTGGCAGGTAAATCTCTTGGGCTGCAGAACAGATTTTGCTTTAGTCCCAGTATAACTTGTGATCTACTTTTCTAGCAAAGGTGCTTTATTAAACATGAGGTTTTGTAAAACTTTTCCTTGTCCAGAGCAAGACTAGGAGTTACCTACCTGATTTTCACAAGAAGAGAGTATAAGCTACCACCACAGCCTGAACTGGCTTCATATTGCCCCTCTGTAAAGCAAAGTAAGGTCTCAGAAGCTCAATTGCACCCCCTTGCCTCTGCTCACTGAAGAGGAACATGTCAAGAGCGAGGAGGTGGTAAAGCGACGATCCAGCCTGTCCAAAGCAATAATCCACATTCTTAGGTAGAGAATACAAAGAAGGTTTAGCCAGAGAATAAAGGACTGAGTCTCTCCAGGGCATCACTAGTCTGCTTCTTAGCTCTGTTACAGTTCTCAGGATATTATGCGAAGTAGTCCAGGACTGCCTAGCAGGGATCCCGGCAAATAACATCTCAACTATAATTACCTCTTGGCTTGTCTCCTCTCTAAAAGTAGCAAAGTTAGTTAAACAGCTTTGTTCATCATCTCCTCCTGTGTCCTATGCTGTTCATAGCCAGAATTTTCACTGTACATTTTTAGTGTGCATCTTCACAAAGCAGAAAAGCAACCAGACAATAGAAATGCACAAGACATCTCCACTTGTACAGGAAACACTTTTGCTATTCTGCACTGTCTCAGACACAGGATAAGAAATCCCATGTGAAACTGCTTTCTGCCATTCTTGCAGATCCCACTGTAGAAACAGAAATGGATATGATTGCAGCATTGTGTTTTACAACTACATGAGATGAATCTCATACATACAGAGGAGAAATAATTCCCAATGAGTTGCCTATCTGATTTTTTCAGCCCTTTCTATTTACAGATCACACCAGGAGTCTTTAGATTCCCTGAATTTATTCATTACTCAAATTATTTACTGAGTGATTTCTAGGGTCTATTCTCATTCTGTAAAATTTTTGATTTCAGAAATTTAAGATGCTTTGCTGAGTTGAGGACAGGTATATGTTTTGTGTGGGTGTATCTGGCTCTCATTAAGATAAGAAGTCCTAGATCTATATTTTTGGTGCATCTAGAGGTTCACAACACACTTTGACATCAGGGGATAACACAGCTTTGCTCAGTAACGGTCCTTTAGTTGGGGATCACAGTGTGTGAGAGCAGGCAGAGTTCTTGGTGCTCGTGATGATGACGGAGCATACGGGTGCGAACATTTTTAACTGCCCTCTCTGGGACATGCAGTACCCTGGAGGAAAGAAAGTTTTAACACTATTGCTCTGTGAGGTTTATGGCCTGTAGTGCCTTCTGGAAATAATAATTTCATAGAGTTACCGCTGCTTCTGTGGTAACTAATAGCATCACTTGGTATCAGACTGTCTAGTAAGTAGCCAAGCACCCTGCAGAATAAGCAGCATCACATTCTGTCACACTTCCAGGGAACCGGGCAAAGATCAAGGGTTCTACAAGGCTGAAAAAAGGGAAGACCCTCCCTGCTCAATTTTTATCAACATTAGCAAAGCTGAGAGAAAAAACAGAGAGGATATCATATCCCAGGAACTGGCCATTGAAGATAGAGTTCTCTTAATGCCCAGTGGTTAAATCCTACTTTCTGCTGGGTTCTGTGAGACAGCACAAGTTTGTACTAGTTTTAGTTAGGATACATTTTTTTTTTCATAGTAGCTTGAGCAGGCAGCTCAACAGCTCCTTCCATCCCCGTGCTTGGAAAGAAACCAAAAGAGCTGCTTGTGAGAGACACACACACACAGAGGAGCCTCCTCTTCCTTCCACACCTCCGCTTTGACAACTGCACTGTAATGCATCTCTGATACCCAGCCCCACTCCTCCCCTCAAGGCCTCGCCAGTGGCCAGGGTTTTATTCATGCAGTTTTTACCTCTGGCTCAAAGTTTCAGTACCTTGGACACATTTGGGAGGCCATGAGATTCTCTGATCCTGTCAGAGTACTTGTTGATGAATACTGATGGAGAAAAGGAAAACCACACACACAGATCCATGCTTGTGAAACCTCTGTGGATATAATAAAAGGTCAGCCTTTCCTTTCCCCACATCCAGTACCATCATTTTTGGAAGCAGATCAATTCTCACTAAGCTATGGAAACAGACAAATTAACCTCAGCAAAAAGCAGAGAAGGCTGATGATCATCAAGCACAAGCATGTATTGAAACACCACCGCACAGTTTCCAGGATTGACAGCTATAAAATGAAGGAAATCACTAATTTCACAGTGATTCTGTGTCAACTGTGTTGTTTTTTTTTTCTATCAGGAAGTTCACAAGGCAGGTTTGGGAGCAGGAAACTAGGGATAAGAGAACAAGCCCTAAAAAGTTTGGATGTTGGAAATCAATAGCAACTAGAGCAGGAGTGAGAAGAGAGATGCCGTTTGCAAGTAGTTTAATGTTCTGACATTTGCATTGCCTATTGATCAGAAAGTGCAAAATGCAGACGAGGATAGAGGGGCTGATGACAGAAAAATCAATAGCTTCTTTACAGGACCCATTCAATAGTAGTGAAGGAAATTTGCCATTTTGCAGAAATCACATCAGGTGGGTGTAAGCTGGCAGGATCTCCCATTCCCCAAAGGAGGAGGATGTCCAAGCCTTTCACCTCCCACCTGCCTCTCATTAGCTTGTGCTGCTCTGGAGCTTAGTGGAGTGAGGAGACAGGAAAAAGCTCAGTTTTATTCCTGAGCCTGTTGCCAAGATGTTAGCTGGCCCTAGGCCATCATTTCTGCAAAAGAAATTATATGATACCTCTTCCTGCTACCTAAGCATTGTGCAGCTCAATTAGTGAATGCTTGCATGGTACTTTGAATATACCAAACTGTAGAACAAGCAGCTGTTACTATAAATATACTGCCAATCACAGAGCACCACTGACCACGCTGTTTAGTAAGCTGGAGCTGAGGGAAACCTCACACTCACTGTGATCTATTTAATAGTTGCTACATTTATTTTACTGTGTACCTAAATACATGCAAGGGTCTAACAAGACGGCTTGATTAGATACAGCAGATGTATGTCATCGCATCACAGTAATTTCACCTTCACACTGACCACAACCTGACTGAGGTCGTGACCTGGATCTTTGGCAGCTGTGCCCTGTTGTTATACTTTTCTGATTAATGTGAAGACAGGACATATGGAAGACACTTTCTAAACTGAGAACACATGCATAAGTGACCATGACAAGTGGAGGGATCAAGTCCCCATGTTGACTGCAGGAAACACACAGAGATGCAAATTATTATACTCTGTATCAAGAACACATTCAGCTTTCCAGCAAAACCTTAGAGATGTCACCAACTTTCAACACTCATTGACTTTGTCATCCTCAGCCTGGGTTCTCTTACTGCTGCAGTAGATCTGCTGGGACTCAGGTGGGGAATGACAGAGCAAGAACAGGGCAAAGCCCCTGGAATGGCCACTGTTCAAGATACCCATCTTGCAAACAACATTTCTAGGCCATCCTGGGCATCTAACAATGCCTGTCTACATCTGTGTTGGCTTGCCAAACTGCCTTGACAAGAAACAGAGAGATCCCTTCACTAATTGACTCCTTAGTAGAGAGGCATACAGATCGTGACTCATGCAGTCTGAGACATCCCACCCGGGATAAAGTGAACATGACCTAGAAACACTTTATCCTTGTTGCTGTTGATGCCTACAGCAGTGCAATATGACTCCACCCAGCAAGACAACACAACATTATCTATACATTTTGTCTGGAAGTGGTGAAATCTATAGATAAAACAGGAGACATCCAGACTGACAGGCCTCTGCTTGCAAACAAATGGCTCCTCATAACAGCTACCAACTGATACTGAGAGCAAAAGCCTCTAAACTAGCAGCAGCCACTGCTTCATGCTCCTCTTACGACAGCTCCCACAGTTTCTTTCCATACAAACTTGTTTTCCTGGTAAAATCAGCAGCAATTTGACTCTTGGCTTGAGAGTTCAGTCACCACTGAATGCTTCAGCAAGCCCTTGCAGGGTGTGATGCAGGGACACAGCAAACACTGGTGTTGATAGAGTGAGGGAGGGAGAGAGACTGTCCCTCAAGAGCCAATGTTTTAAGCAGAGCCAAGGACTCACAGGCCCTGCCAGCCAGAGCACTCACCAGGTTGACAAAGTCCTGGTAGCAGATCCTCCCCTCAGAGTTGCTGTCCGCCAGGGCCAGGAGGACCTCCAGCTTGTGGGGATCCAGCTCCGAGCCGTGTCTCTGGAGAAGGGAGCGAAACTTCTCAGTGCTGATGTAGCCGGTGTTGTCAGGATCAAACTGGAATAGAAGGGGAAAGTGGCAGAATTAACCATTCCACATTACACACAACTGTGCCTTCCTAAGCATTCATCACCTGCAGCAGACCCAGAGGGACCCCAGGGGCTGCTCTAGGCTTTGGTCATGCATTGCCCTGCAATCACTCTGTGTCCAGCTTCCTTTCACTGCCCAGTGACTGCAAAGCACCCTGCTGCAGAGAGGGGTGAACCCAGGCATCATCATCCATGCCATCACCCTGTCTCCACCCCAGTTTCAGCTAAGTCAGCTCTCTTCACCTTCCTGCCCTCTGCATCATCACTTCTCTTGGCTATTTTTTGCTTCCCTCTCTATCTGGACCATCAAGCAAAACAGAGATGCAGTCTGTGAGATAAAACGTACTGAAAACAGTTTTAGTCCTGTATTTCCTAATGCAATTGCAACACCAGAATATGCCATCCCTCCTCAAACCTTTTCTGTGCTCAGTGTTTCTGCCAGTCATCTTTCCAGATCATCTCTATAGATGCCTTCAAAATGGTAAGTTCTTTCACTGCTGAAGAGCTCTCTATTTTAAGATGGATTGGAAAGAAAGCCTGTGGATAGGGAGCAAAGCAGATGAACATTATGTCAAACTAAAAGTGACAAGGCAGACACATGCCATTTTCAGAATATAAACTAGAGTCATTGGAAGGAAAGTCCCAGGTGAGATTTGGAGTGAATCCCACTCTGACCAAAAACATCACTGTTTTTCCTCAGACTAAGTGGTTCGTCTCCTTAAAAATGGCACTGACCAAAACAGAGACATCTTTGCAAGGCTGTCCAAACTTATAACTGCTTCCAGCAACCTCTAGCCCACACTGAGCACCCCCGGGCACTCTGCAAGGGGCTGCCAGCTCACACGCACGGCACACCCCTAGCCCCAAAAAGCCAGCACTGGCACAACGCCATGAGTGCTTCTTTTGTGCTTTGAAAACAAGTGGACACAAGCTGCCAGGCCAGCCTCACTAGCTGTGGTGCAGTCTGAGCTCTGCCAGCTCTCTGTTGCTGGGAGATTTGCCTTTGATTTCCCAAACTTGGCTGTGAGGACCCTGGTGCTCATTGGCCTCCTTTTGTAGATAATGATATCAAACTTGTTGGCTGGATTGAATGGCTGTCAGGGGGCAGGGTGGTCAGGAGGGAGACTTTTCATGGAAACATTTGGGACATAAAAGGCCTTGGCAGAGCCAAGAAGGTCCTTACAATCCCCTCTCTTTCCTAATGGAGAACAAAAGCCGAACAGGCGCCGGACCTTCAATCAGACACAGCAGAGTAAAGGCTGCCTTGGCAAGGGAGGAGGCGAGAAGGGGGATTGGCAGAGGATGCAGCCTGCCAGCAGCAGGGCTGGCACGGCTCTGCAGCGAGCAGAGCAGCTATAAAATAGACCAGCCTCAGGCACAGGCAGCTTGTTTAGAGGACACACACACGTGCAAGGATCTGGCTCTGTCTCCTTCCAGCCCAAGCACCTTTGTCCTGCTGCTCCTGGGGACTCTGCCATCACTGGCTGCTTTGTTGAGCAGGAGCTGTCTAACCTGAGGAGGGGAGATCACAGCCCCTTGCTGCAGCAGGGCTTGTCTGCTCTTTTGTCAAAGCGGCACCCCTCTGTGAGGAAGCTGCTGGGGCAAGTAGATTACACAAAACAAGACATACCAAGTGACCTGCAGACAGTCAGAGCTGGGCACTCTCCCCCGCCCTCTGCCAAGGGTTGTTCTGTCCTTGTGAGGTGGCCTGGCTCTACCTTCCTGACAGCTCGGACCCAGAGCCAAAGGTGGATTTTCATCAGCTGTTTACTGTTAAACAAGGGCTTAATATTAATCCCTGGAGAAGTTTAGCTCCCCTACTCCAGCCCACTCTGATGCTTTGAGTTAACAGATCAAATTCTAAAACCAACCCCAAAATCAAGGCTTCTCCACTCAGGCTCAGCTCTGATGCTTTTTAACTCTTGCTGTGACTCCCAAGCCAGCCTAAGTTTGCAGTGCTCAATCCCAGAGGCACAGAAACCCAGGAAATAAAGTATTATTAGCATAACACCTGAGATGACCTTCCTCAAGGGGAATTTGCAGAAGCTGGGAGATGAGTCATTCAGTGAATGGATCTAACACCTGCAATCCCATAGATACTGCTGTGTTCATCCTTGTTTCCTGAAAACATTTGACCTAACAAACATCTTACTTAACTGCACCACTTTAACTGTATCTTGACATTTAAGATGTCAGAACCTATCTTGTCTAGGACAAACCCATTTGCTCCTTGAAGGTTTAAATGCCACCCTGCTTTGAGGACCAGGGTCAGTGACTGAAGCATGGGACCCTCCTTCCATTCTGTGTGCTCACTGTGTGACTTCACAGGAAAGACCAACAGCCACCAACAACCACGTTCCCCGTGGCTATTCCTTCAAAGGGCAAAAGGGATACAGGGCGCAAGCACACAGGCTCCCGAAGCACAAGAGCTGCTCAGATCACAAACCTCTTTTCCCAGACTTTGTTCTGCTTTAAAGCATTCCAGAAAGAAACATTTTGTAACCGAGAACAGAAATTACACAACCGCTTCAGAGCTTCAAACCAGCCCACAAGGACACACTAAGGACTCCAGACTCACTACCACTAGAGCAGATACAATTCTGTCACTCACAACAGTATTGTCCGTACCTGTTACTGGCTACTGGCTTTCCAAATGGACAGACAGCTGAAGCCTGTCTGGTGGCTATGAATGAGTCTTTGCTCCAAGGATGCTTTTTTCTCACACCAATAGGCACCAGCATTCTTCCTTCAGCTCACCGTCTTGTTGCTCATCCCACTGCAATCAAGCGGTGGCAGAAGGTAACTAGTATTTTCAGTACTGTAAACGCGCTAGGGAGTCTGTTCTCCTCTTTCACGTTACTATGTATAATTTTCTTTTTGGCACTAAATTAATGATACTAATTAGAAATAGGTTTGGATTAAAACAGTGGATCTGAACAGCATGAAAGAGGAAGAGGTGAACAATGAACAACTGGCATCTGAACTTGCCTCAGAGCAGGACTAGACCACTGCTTCCACAGCCTGGAGCAGAATGTTTTACTGTAAACCCCAGCTGTAAGGGAGTTCTCTTATTTATGTTTAAACAATTTTTTTTCAGCATATAAACTCATCTGTCACCACAGCACTCAAAATCCACCCCAACACTTCACACTGCTTCAAGCCCTGTTTCCGATATCACAGCTAGCCACAAAAGTCAAGCGGTTGAGCTGTTCCTGCAGAACATGTGTCCCCACACATGGCAAAACCAACATGTGACGGCACACTCAAAACTCTGGGACCATCAATTATAAAAGAGGCAACTGACCTTTGCTAGACGCTTCATGTATTTATCCATGATGATCTGGTTAAGGGCCAGTTAACCCAGAAGCCCAGGTGAGCACCTTTGTCTCACTGAGAGGACAGATGATAACTGGCAGCCAGCAGCATGGCTGCGCTGAGCTCCAGGTCCAGCCCCACGGGGAGTGCTCCCCAGGCAAAGCCTCCCAGCAGCCAAGTCAGCACAGTGGCTTCCTTCAGCGTAGTTATTTCTGCCTCTGCCCATCTACTTGGGCAGGCAAGTGCAACACAACCAGTGCAGGGATGAGGAAGGCCATTTGCTGCGCTCCCCCCCCCCCCCCCCCCCGAAACAATAGGACACTAACAGCAATTTCATGCAAGGTTTCCTCCACATTTCAATAACAATCACCCTTAACTCCCTTGATCCTCAACCAGGGTCTTAAGCAAAAATGTAAATATGTTAATGACCACAGCAGCCATCTGACCCAGGATCTTAATTCCCTGGCCCAAAACAAGGTTATTTTTTCCTATTTCTTCCTTATTTTGGAACAGACACTCCATAAAATGAAGGCCGCACCACAAAACTACAAGACAAAAATAAGGGGAGGGGGCCCTGCAAACTCTGATGAAAATAGGAAATATGGTTGAGAAAGAAAATGAAATCTCAAATTGTTCCTCCTCTTTAATTAAAGACACATCAGCCACGGCTGAGTGAGCAAGTAGGGTGGAGGCTGGTGCTGCAGACAGACAATGGGTATCTTGGGAAAACGCAGACATTTCACATAGCGCAGCCAGCTGCTCCTCTCCCCAATGCCAAACAGCCCTCTGGGGCATCAGAGCAGCTGGAGAGTCAACAGCTGAACTGGCCACAACATGAGGATCCTTGGCTGGCTTTAGGGTTGCAGATCTGTCGCAGAAACAGAGAATTTGCTACCACCCGTGGTTTCCCCATTGAGGGGCTTTGTCTTGGCATGAAGAGGAGATATCACCCGAGCCGTAAGTTGTCTTCACAATGGGCAAGGCTCCAAGCAACTTCATCTAATTTGGAAGTTGGCTTTGAGTTGGATCAGTCCCTTCAAACCTGAATCATTTTATGGTCCAGTGGTATCTTCACTTCTGGGAGAGACTGGCCTTGGTGGCAGGCCTCCTGGCACTGACCCCAGCTCTGCTCCAGACTAGGAGGCAGATTCTGGAAATAAATTGCCCTTTAGCTTTCCCTCCTATTATATGGAAATGACAACTCCTGCCTTATTTCCCACCAGAAGGGAGCTATCAATAGCAGGTCTACTTCTTGATCTCATGTAGACCCTTCCCCATGACTGGCACTGGAAAGGGAGAGTCAGTCACATGCAAAATCTGTTCATCTCCAAGGGTTTCAGAAACCACTCTGAGCTTTGCTGGATTTGAACTCAGACCTTTAGATGGCACAGTCTCCACAATCTAGAGATGCTAACAAGCTTTGCAAACAACCAGACCATCTCCAGCCTCAAGGACCATGCTGTAGTCAAATCAAGAGTCTCCAAGTCAATGGAATTGACAGACTCCAAGTTGAAGCTGTGAAAAGGCATCTAAGGCAGTAAAACTCTCCTGTACATCTTACCACACACATCTTACCAGAGCCCATTCTCTACCTTTCCAGCTTCTGTGGTCATGCTATGAGTTGGTGAGAGAGGTTTTTTATCTTTGTGGGTT